AGATTGTAGAATGGAGAAGAAACTATTTAAGAGAAATAAAGAAAGCCAGAGCAATGCGGGTCATACCGTCTCGAAGGTTTGGCAAGATCAGAACATCAAAAGTGGAAGACAAGCCTTTATGGAAGGTTGGTCCACTGGTTTGAAAATTCCAGTTGAAAAAGACCGTCGTCTTATCATCACTCACATAGGCAGTAGTGAAGGATTCGTGAAAGATCGATTGACGGTGTTTGAATCGAAGAAAAATGGGGATTATCATCAAGAAATGGATGCCACAGTATTCGAAGAATGGTTTAAAAACATACTTGTGAAACTTCCGCAGGGATCCGTAATAGTAATGGATAAAGCAAGTTACCACAGTAGACGAGTGGAGAAGCTGCCGACGTCGTGTTGGAAGAAAGCAGATATTACTGAGTGGTTACAAATGAAAGCTATTCCTTTTGAATCGACCATGTTAAAAGCGGTGCTCCTCAACTTGGCTAAACGTCGTAAGTCAAAATTCGTCAGGTATGTCACCAATGAGATGGCGAAGATTAAAGGAATGTCGGTTCTTCGGTTACCGCCTCATCACTGTGAATTGAATCTAATAAAGTTGGTTAGGGCTCGAGTTAAAGGATTGATCGCACCGAATAATAAGACCTTCAAGATGTGTTGATAAAAGAAATACCTAGACACTGCTCTGGAAACAGTCGGCCAAAAAGCTTGAGAAAAAATATCTACAAAACAATCAGAATCGAAGCATAGATGTGGGATCTGGATGATCGCACATACTATAAAAAATTATTCCAGTTGTCATCAATCCTGATCAATTTGCTAAATTATCTAAAGCAGTAACTTTTTGCCCTTTCTACATTTGTATTTATTTGTAAATTCAATATTCTGATTATTTTATAGATCTGTAGAAGGTAACAATTCTAAATAATAAAAAACTATTTCAAATATAAATTGTCCTTTCCAAAATAAAATATTTGAACAAAATTTGTTTTCACCATATTTTAATTATCTTCTCATCATACAGAATATATCAATGGAAAATTTATATCAATACCCCCAGTCCGACGCCTATTAATATTATGTTAAAGGTAATATAAAAAAAACATCGAGCTGTTCTTTTGGCGGTATTTTCGCATTCTTTGTCGGTGTTTTCGCGTCCTTTGTCGCATATCCCTATTTAATGGCGTCCTCAAGGGATATAGAGGGTAGACATATCTCAATGATTTTGTAAGTGAATTGCAGCGCTATTTGCTTGAGACGACTATGTTGCTTTCATTGATGTAGCGACATGTTTGCATTCTTGAAATTCATTTACTCTCAGACAATACTGAACGAACTATAAATAGAAAATAATTTTTTCGTTACCATTGGACCACACTGTATGTTAGCTGGGCATGTTTTACCCCTTCTCCCAGTGGAATATCTGAAGAAATAAAAAACGTTTGGCAGATACTGTCTGGGGAATATCTCACAAAGAATATGCGGGGAATACCACTTTATTATGGTGAAGTGAGTCAATGCTTATGAATTGAGACTGATATTCAGTCTCGTTCTTGACGCGGACCCGCGAATGCGCGTAGAGTTAGGTTAGTGACCTTCAATCGCGATTGCTTGCTTGCTATTTAAAGTAAGTACGTTTATATGTTTGAGCTGCTTACCAAACCCACCAAGTTTGCTAGATGTTTATTCCTAAAATTTTAAGTTTTGTATGCATGTACAATATGTAAAATACATTACAGCACTTCTGGTGGTCTTGTCTTATTTGACATAAATAAAATAAGTAAAAACATATTTTATGTTAAACAGCTTTATTGAAAAAAAAATAATAATGATGTAGACGATGTACTAAAAAGTAATTCGGTAGGTCGTTGGGCGTAGCATAACCTGAGTAAATATGTAAATAGTACGTAAATACTACTAGCTTTCAGTACATTATCTACATCATTATTATCTTTTTTTTTCAATAAAACTATTCAACTATAAAAACATTTTTTAACTTATTTTATCTTCGAAATTTCAGTTTCTAAATTTGTTACTAAATTATTCTGATTCTGCTTAGTTCACTTAGTACCTCAGTATCACAAGGTTCATTTCTCAACAATTTGTTGCAACCTAACTCCTCAATAAACGTTAACCACATAGTTCTCGAAACGTTTCAACCTTTTTTCCTAACTTGAGTGGTGTATCGCTAACGACGTTTCATTTTTAATATATAATCTTCCATTTTGTAGCCGCGGCCATCTTGAATTTGCATCTTTTGCAAAGTGAACTGCTATTTTAGAAGTCAGGTCCTGTCATTTGATACCTATATTGAGGTAGTTGTGAAAAATATATAATCCGCCATAATGACTGTCGTCATTTTAAAACAATTATGAATTTATTTCCACCATTAATATGGAAGTGTCCGATCTCCATATAGTCCTTTTAGACTAAAATTACTTTTTTTAATTTTGTTCTGCCAATCTTCTTCGGTAATATCAAATACTTTTTCTTCAGTTAGCCTTATTACCGTCTTATCAAATTTCAGAAAATTATTTTTACGTCTGATGCTTTGTTTCAATTTTCCCCAAATCGACACAATGGAATTGAAAACATAAAAATAGGGGGAAAGTCTTAGTAAGGTGTGTCCATACTTTTCAGCAATACTCTCAAGGACATACACTTAAATGTTTTTGTCTGTGAAACTTCCCGTAGTTGGTTTTTGGTATAGTAATCTTCAATATACAAATTGTTATCAACTAAAAAACTTTGTATTTCATCTTTCCTCGAATTTTTATTCGGTACTTTAATGTGCTGTCGCGAATGATAGGAAGTATTGTCAAGAACTAATACACTATTCGCATCCAAATTTGGGATCAATGTGTTTTCAAACCGTTCCTCAAAAATATTAGCTTCCATGTTCTTATGATAGTCAACATTGCAGTCCTCACGTTTTTTTTTTTAAATAATTCGAAAGCCATCTTTTACTTCCTCCATAATGCACAAGATTAGTCGTGATCCTTCCTTTGCAGACATGTTAGGCGTACTCATTCTCGAAACATCAGTCCACCCTTTCGTAACTGTGTCGAGAGTGTCATACCAACTTATGTCCAAATAGAAAATTTGCCGTTGTTCTTGTCCATATTTAGTTATTTGTTCTAAGTATTTGTTACGCAATTTCACTATTCTTCTGCTTTCCATAACTGCTTGACGTTTATTTATTATTTTAAATCTAAATCCTAGTTTCCTTATCCAATTCTGAAGAGTTTTGTCACAGCAGCTCACGTTATGGCCGAAAGTATTGAAATTCTTCGTTATGATTTCATTTGTAGGAATTTCATTGTTTCTGTACGAGTAACAGTCATATTTTGGTTTTTTCAATGATTTTATTAGATGAACATCTAAAGGTTTTGGTAATCCTGTATCACATCGCGTCTTGCGTTCATAAGGTCTGTTTTTGACTATTTTACGTACAGTTGAGTAATGAATTTCTGTCAAATCTGATGTTGCTTGTAATAGTTTGTTTCCCTCAAAACCAAACTTGAGATGTAGATTCTTACATATATTGAAACATACTCTCTGTGTTTCAATATTCAAATGTATCCGAATCTCATTCATTGGTATCTCTTTTTCGCATTGTTCACCATCCCTATTGGAATCACCACACTAGAAAAAGTCTGCGTTATCACACTCGTTATTACTATTAGTACTTGCCCAAGGAGGCCACATTTCAAACAGATAACAAAAATTTTAAGTAATTATAACTGCACCAATATCGATCAGTTCCTGAACAGAACACGACGGCGATAACCAAGGCCGCATTCCTCGATTTCTATTCGTCACCGTAACATGACTTCAAATTTAATTTTATGACTCTCCAGCCAATCATAAAACTGGGTTAGTAAAATTATCCAATACGTACCGCGAAGTCTACAGTCCATGTGGACTAGTTTGCTGCCGGTTCATTTCGATGTATTGGTTTTTTTGGCCTTTGAGAGTGCCGACAATTTTAAGAGTGCACAATATCGTTTACTTCGACTATACAAATGTGCCCTATTTCTCGTTTTTATATGAATTACGGTGTTTTGACATGGATGACTTGATTTTGTTCGTGGATATAACTTTTTCCTGGAAATTTACTCTGTACTGGGACACAAATAATTCAGCAATCAATTTTGATTCGTCTGTTGTTGTAGTTGCTGTTATGTCACTAAGTTCATGTTGGGGATAGAATTTTGACTAAGGGCTTTTGTTAACAAATTTTGTCTACTTTCAATATGCAATATATGGTTTTTCATTTCTTTCTTACACTTACAAGAAAATTCAACAGGAGTGACTTCCTTGCTAAATGACCGGAACTGAGTATTTGAACTTTGAACAATTACAACAAAATCTGTATTTCATTTGATTGATTAGATAAAGTAAGCGGAAAAACGAATACGTTAAACAATTTAGCCCGAAACCGTTATAAGATTATATTGTTATCTGATAAGAAGGCTGCATTAGAAACATCGGAACAATCAGAATACTGTTTAAGGGTCGTGAAAAATTATTCGTTCCAAGGCGTTGTTTGTTAATCAGCAACTGTTTCAGTTCAGATCCGGTAACATTCACATACAGTGAATATTAATTGAAGGTATGAACATTTTTTCAAGCTACTCCAGACAAAGGCAAAAATCAACGCGATCTGTTTCAATTCAGCGGTATACTACACGGTTCACAGTAAATTCATCAATTACTGGTTCATCAAACTATTCTGACAACCTGATAGAAACTTTTGGGGATTATTTTGTTCATTCATTCCTTTCTATTACCGGTGAAACTTTTAGTCCCTCTTATATATTTGGGAAATTTTTAAGATCTATTTCAATATTTCGATATTTTTATTTCAGATATCCTCGTTAGAAAATGGGAAAAAATAAACATGATCTGGAGGACACTTCTGGTGGGTATAATTAATCTTAGTACAGAATTTCAAGTTTCATAATAATGAATCACATGAATGCTCTTAGAAAATTTATTTTCGGTATTTTCAAGAGAGTGACTCGTTTATTATAGTAGCTAAGTCGTCAAATTTGCACAAGAAAGTGTTTGATACTCTGATGAAAATAGTTATCAAATATCAGTGAAAAATCCTTACTAAAAATTTGCATAGCGTCGGTAGTATACATGAGACATACGCAATGAAAATTGAAAAAGATATTACTCGTATATACGAGTACAAAAAATGCTACTCATAAGAAATGTTTTCAATTTCAAACTGAACCACAGGGTTTCGGACAGAAATTTTATTGTCATATCCTCTTCTTATATTTTCAGAAGACGATTGCCGCTTGCTTCAGAAAGGTTTTTGAATATTTGTAGAAAACAAATCAATTTATAGATTTGCCATCATAAAATCTAAATAGTTCCGTTGGGAAGTTTTCAGTTTTACTCGCCAAAATTCTGAATCAAATGACCAAGTGAAATGTTCCATAAATTCATACTGAAAATGAAATGATCATAGGAAATCATAATGAAGAAAAGATAAATGAAACTTTCTATGTTTTTTACCACTTTAATTTGTAACTAACGTTACTGCAGTTTCGTCCTATAAGGACATTTTCAAACTTATACATTAAATTTTTCAATGTATAAATCCATTAATTTTGATTCAAACGATGTATTATCATAATGAACGACATAATACTTTCGGAAGAAATAAACAAGAAAGAAATTCGATAGTCCGTATTCAATACTGTTGATATTGAACTCAAACTGAGGATTATCAGTAATACTGAAGTCAAATTAGAAATAGTGTTGAATAGTGTAGAGTAAGTATTTTAATTCACATGATTTCATAGAGAAAGTTCAGGATGTGAGACGAAGAGATTTTAGTATCATTTGAGGTATTTCGTTGTACCTTCGCCAAAAACTATTGAATATTTGAGGGATATTCTTGGGATTGATAGACTCAGTGGAGAAGTAATCGAAGACTACATACGATAAACAAAAATCTGCTTGGAACAGAATTGCTACCAGTTCAACTGCCTTTACAGCCAGCATATTTTGGATACGAATAAATCGAAGGTAAAGGACTTTGTTTTGAATTATCAACAACCAGAAATGTGCCAAATCACTTGAACACCTCCCGTGAAAGTATCTTGTCTCCAATCAGTCGGATGGCTTTTTCTTGGATAGAATTCACCAGCTTCAGGGTATACCCAGGGGCGGAGCTCCATACATAAGAACAATACTCCAAAGAAGGTTTGATCTGAGCTTCATGAAGCATCAAAATTTGCTGAGGTGTGTACAGTTTTCTGGTTCAGAACACTCTTCTAAGCTTTGAGAAACAGTCTTTGCAATTCTAGCGACATGATTGTGCCAAGACATCATTCCTCATTCAAATATGCAACCTCCTGCTGCCGGTAACGGTGTCTTACGGCTCTCTCCATGATTTTTGAAATCACTAATCTATAGTTATTTGGAATATTTTTCTTCCCCTTTGTGGATAACGCCTTTCCCAGTGAATCGAATGTGGATTGGGACGCTAATTGTTCAGCTAGTAGATTTACTTTTTGTATGGCTGATCATCATTGAATCATCCGCTTGTAATTGTGGTGAAATTGTGGATTTTGTTAAGGTTACCTACCTATACCTACCGACCAGAAGGATCTAGATCCGTTGGGATTGGCAAGTTAATCCCTAATTCTCTAATTGTGAAGTTCTTAGCTTTCATTAATTCCAAATTTACAGCTCTTGCGAGCATTAACAAACCTAGTTCGGTTTTCGGCAGTGATATTTTTGCGCCACTACCGGTAGGCGATATTTTTGGAGGCGACAGCTTGCTCGTAATCTTTGTTGAACCAAGGTTTGTCGTTAGAAGTTCGATTCTTTGAAAACGAAATACATGCATCCATGGATGATAGAATAACTTCCATTGATGGATTATTGGAATTGAAACAAACATCTAACTAGGGGAAATTTCGGAAATGGTCTTGAAGATCCTCCCACTCAGCAGATTGTAATGCCCAACTTTGCGCGGCTTAGATTGTTCCCCAACATTTACTGGTAGTTCACTCAACACTAAAATGAGTTTGTGGTAAGATCCCAATGAGAACCTAATGGAGACTGTGTACATTTCTGGATTCGTTGTTAGGTGTAGATCCAGAAGACTAGCATATTCTCCATTATGGTCAGGAATCCTGGTAGTCTCATTTATAATCCGAGTCCGCTGCTTATTCCAGAAGCCTCAGCTTCGCGACTTTGTTCTTTGTTGATATCTGAAAACTTGAGCGAAATTGTGAACATTGAAGTCACAGAATATGTAAATTACGGTACTAGGATGATTGATTTGTGGAAAGTCAATGTTGTTTGCCACTATAGGGAATAGTGCCCTATTTTGTGTATCGCTTGGTGGTCAGTAAACGCACCATATGAATTCAGTGAGGAGTTACCATTCTTGGATGTCTTAGTCATTCGAATTCTTTAGGAAGATATAATTCTCATACCTCACACCATTCTCCACAACACAAAATGGCAGGTCTGAACTTTCTTGTCCATAGGCTTGTTACCTCCCTCTCACATAGCTGAAAGCAACGGGTATTCTTCAAATATTGTAGATTTCGTATTTAGAAAACGTAAATTTGAAGAGAATATTCGTAAATCTTCAACTTTTCAAAAATACACATTCAAAGTTTATTGTTTTTTCGTATGAACCGAGATACCGTATTTTTAAAAAGTTGAACATCAAAGTAACCTTTGAAACATATTGCCCACTTCAAAAAATGTAAGTTACTCAAAAAAAGATGTTTATTTCATTTTTTCGAAATGTGATAACCGATTATAATACAAAATTGCTATTTGATTGAAAATATGATAAAATTTCATTGGTATTTTTTTCAGATGACGAGTTTGTTGTGGAAACTGACACAGCCGTAGAAGAAGCTACAACCATTCAAAGACTGAAAGAATTTTCTTTCTATCTAGTAGAGAATATTGAACTGAACCTCAATTTGTTTCTCAAACTCTTAGAAGAAAGGGACGTCCCTGCCAAGCAAAATAGTCTCTATGTTACTGGACTGAGTCTAGCCCTAAAGGCAATACCAAAAATTGGAACTGGAGCCAGTGGCGCCCTTAGTAGTGGTGAAAAATGGATGCTCAACAAAATTGATAAGAAAAGTTCTAGAACCCTAGCCGAAATTGTATATTATTACAGTGACAACAAAGAAACGTTCAGGAAAATATTGATTGAATCTGCCGTTGATATTTTTTACAGCTTCGAAGATCAGTTCAGAAAGCTGAGTTGCAAAGGGGGAGAAAAACGAGCAATGCAAAAATTAGCAAAGGATGCCGTTGATAGAATATTCTATTATTTCTTGGAGACAGAACAGAAAAGAGATGTTACCAGGGATGAAGTTACAAAAGGTAATGAGTTTTGGATCTTTCTCATATCTGGTTTACTAGATTCATTTTATTTTGAAATTCGATCATATTTCTCAGAGCGGGGACTGTTCACACAGTCTGTTCCATTGTGAACAATTTTTTTAATGATTAAGATCTGGAGAAAGTATTCTATAAAAACACGAAAAATAATTTACCGTTTTCATAACAAAATCTTCATTGAACAAATTAGATATTAAAAGAAAGCTATTTCACTTCATTGCGAGCTAATTACTATTCGAAAAACATTCGCTTTCAGATTTTCTTGAAATTTCTCACATTTCTGGAAAGTTTGAAATTTTCTACAATAATAACATTAGGATGAGAAAAGTGAAATAAAAAATTGAAAAATACAATGTTTGATCCGTTAACATCTTTGTTACTAACACAATCGACTTCTCCGACTATCTTCATCACTGAGAAATGATGATTTTGTTCACTCTTTTTTGAAATGAATTTTTGAGGAGGCTGTGGAAAAAATGAGAGTTATTAATGACATTACAGTAATTTTTCTAGGGGAAACTGTTCTGTTAGTTTGAGCATTTATTATTCGATGATAAAAAAATGGATTTTACATTCGGAGACTTAGGTGATATGCATCTGTAATTAGCAAATAACTACTAATAACTTCCTCAACAGAAATATATTCACGAAGTTTTGACAACTATATATACTAATCTCTGACAAATCAATCAACAACCTCACACTCACATTGTTTTTTATATTTTATTTCTTCTTTTATTGCTTATGCTATAAACTTGTTTGTCTGGATTATAGGCAATCTTTGTTTATTTTGGTTCAATCTGATCAATATTCTCATCTGGACTGGGAACAAAAATGTCGTTTTTCATATCTTATTGGTATTTTTTAACTGTTCCATAAGTTGGGCGCATAAACATTCAATTCTGTCCACTCTCGCTGTAATCTCGACTGGTTGAGGCACTAGTTGATCACCCATCATTGTATAATAATTGATTCAGCAGAGTTATGAAGTCAAAGTCTTTCGGATTCGCAAACTCGGGATACCTCTTGATGATTTCTGCTTCCAATTTGATTTTCAAATCTGATATTGCTCCATTAGTGTCGATGTCGAAATGACGTAGGATTTTTGTAACTTGATCTTTGTTGAGTTGTTTAAGAAGTTCAACCATCTTTTGGTAGACAGTGTTAATGTTATTTTTCGGGGTCAGCAATTGTAGTTTGCAAATAACTACTAATAAATTCTTCAATAGAAATATATTTACGAAGTTTTGACAACTATCTATATTAATCTCAGACAAATCAATCAACAACCTCACACACATTGTTTTTTATATTTTGTTTCTTCTAAACAATTTATACTGGGTGCCAATGACTATGATGATGTGATCCCACACCTTAAGAATGTAAAATTAGGAACAAATGGAAGAATGTCACAAACAGTATACAACAAACGTTATCCTGGAAGAAATAATAAAATTGTTATTTGATAAGAACCGAAATTTCCAATTGGCATTGTAGGCACATGATTTTCAAATCGTTGTAACAACACATCATAAAAAATGCCTTTAAGTATATTTTTTATGGTGACATGGCACATGATATTGAACGAAAGTTTTTTTTGTGGAAGAAAATCAGTTTTTTATCGACTTTTTTTGGGTATTTTCACCTTCCACAAATTATCGGAAGCCAAAATCTGCCTCCGTTTTCAGAAATGAACAAAAATTCAAATATATATGCAGTTATTCCTTTGCTGATTATTTATTTCTCAACTTCTGCGAAACGTCAAGATAAATCGTGGAGGAGGGTTAAAATACGCAAAAAAAGGGCGATAAAAAAATTGCACTTGATATTGCATCAAATGTCTGAACTTATTTAATGTTTTGATAGTTTCAAAATTTGTTTTTGAATACCTTCTCTTTCATGAAGACCAATAATAAGTGAACGTGATGGCCATTTAATATGGTTGGATTAGGTTAGGTCCAAAGTGAGTGGGTCTATTCAACCTTCCACCGCAATCCGCAAGGGTTTATTGTGGCCAATTAAACCCAGCTTCTTAACGAAGCCGATTAGTTTGTATGGTGAGTGGTTTTTCAGGTCAGATGGTAAGAGTACGGTACTGCCAAATTCTAAAAACCTGATTTGGTCTCCAGCGGGGCAGGCACAAAGTATGTGCTCTGCTGTTTTATAATTTTCTAAACAGAAGCGACACACACTGTCTTTCGACAGTCCGAGTCTCTGCATATGATAATTCAAACGACAGTGACCTGTGAGAAGGCCTGTTAAACATCGTAGTTTATCCCTACTATAGTCCAACAACTTTTTGGTATCAAGTTTTGAAGGGTGAATAAACGCCTTGGAGTGAGCCAATCCTGGAAGATTCTGCCAGAAGTCCATAAATCTTCTTGCCATCCAGGTGTTCAATATTTGTTTGGCGAAGCCTAAAGCAATGCCAATGACAGGTTCTAGTTTGACGAAGCTGCTTGCAGCACTCTCCTTTGCAAGGAAGTCAGCAGCGTCATTGTCTTCTAGGCCACTTTGGCCAGGAATCCAGACCAGAGACATATGTTAAGTATTCTTATCGGGGAGAGTCGTTTTTGGCAATTTGTTACCAATTTAGACGTTGCTCGGTAGGACTTGACTTGTGTATAATAATAATAATAATTTTTATTTGCATTCAGTTCAATTACATGGTTCAATATAAACTTAAAAAATAATAATAATAAAAACTGAAATGCAAAATGGAGTTGAAAACAATTTGAAAAAGTTCTAGTTCAACCCCAGTTTATATAAACATTGTAAATATAATTGTTCGCATGGAAATAATTTTTATTGGATTCTTCCAGTCTCTCCGCACACAATTCAATAGCGTAAATTTCCGCTTAAAATACAGTCGCATAGGTTTCTAGGCAGGTTGATATCTCTGTCATGGGTCTGACACGGAAGGTGTTTTTGATCCATCTGTGAACCAAAAACAATCTGCTATTAATATTTCCTTCTTCCGGAGGATCCAATCCTCTCTACTCCGGAACAGTACTTTATAAGGCAGTTCGTAGTCGACAGAAAAATGAGGAGAGAAGGTAAATCTAGAAGGATCTCTATGGCCGCTGACTGTGGTACTGATGGCACCACTGATTACCAGACAAGCCTGTCTCTGTAAACCAGAGAGCTTCGCATGGGCAGTTTTACTACAAATCCTTCGACATGTCCATAGTGACAGTCTGGCTTTGTGTAAGACTTTTTCCAAGTGAGCGTTCCAGGTGAGTATTTTATCAAGGACAATGCCAAGATATTTCACCTCCGTTCCAAATTGAATGTCCACACCATTGAGAGAAAGTGGCGTTAGATCATCCAATATCCTCCTCCTAGTGAAGGGGATTATCACAGTTTTGCTGGGGTTAACAGACATCTGCTCCCTCAGACATCAACTGCGAACAACGTCCAACGTGCTTTGGAGGATATTACAAGCTACCCTTCCCGACGTGGACCTTGCCAAGATGACCAGGTCATCTGCATAAGCTTGCAGATATAATTTCCATCTGTCAAGGGTATCAAGCAGACTATCCATCAGGGGCCAGAGATGATTTCATAGATTTAGGTGGTGCATTGTCAAATGCTCCTTCGAAATCGAGGACCATCATTTCCTATATACTTTACTGGCATAGTCCTATTGAGGAAATCTCTGCATATTCTCTTCCGATGTGGAGTAACTTCATCCTATGAGAATACTTGCATGTCATTGGAATACTCAGTAGCAAATCTTCTAAAAGTACCATTTTTATTGTGAAATGTTGTGAGTAGTCACCTAAAAAATCTTTTGTTCTGTTGAGTTTTGTCAGACGTAAATTACTTTTCATTCATTTTTCTTTGAAACTTTCCGTACTGATATAGTGGATATGCCAAATTCTATACAATATCCCTCAGTTTTTCGGTATTCTACAGCACCTAAATTGAATAAATGTAACTTTTGTTAACTAATCCAAAACTTCAAAAAACATCAGTATCGTCACCACTTTCACCAACCCTACAATATCTCTGACTAAGTTGCTCCTGTTAAGGATATAGATCTTGATGCATTTTACAGAGATTTGTGAAACATATGAACCTTTTTGTCATTTCAAAATTTCATTGTTTTTTTCCTTGAACTGTTAATTCTATAGGAAGTTTATGGACATCCTTGTATATGTATGAGTGTGAAAATTGAGAATAATTTAAAGTGAATATATATTCTAAAAGCCATGAAAAAATTTGATTTGTCATGGCTGAACGAATTGTTCTTTTAGATGATTTCATTTGTCATTGATTATATTTTAATTAATTTTTACAAACTTTGTCTCCTGTATGAATGTTGTGTCAACTGTTAATAAATTGGCGTTTTTGTTTGAATTTGTGAATTTGATAGAATTCAGGAAAATAAGAAATGAAATTGGTTCTAATATCGATCCACATATAACGGAACTAAGCAGATTCTTATATTTCCCCATATACACGTGTTTTTGTTTAGCTCAAATAATTTTCAAACTAATTGAAAATGTACTGCACTTTGATATACAAGGTGTTTATTAAACATGCGGCAAAAATTTTAGGGACTATTCCTTGGACTATTCTAAGTATATTCTGTCCTTTGATGATTTTTGATAGGGCACTTTGTTTCGAAGATACGTAGCGAAAAAGAATTTCAACAATAACAATTCATTACCAAAAATTATATGCAGGTAATGTTTCTTAATCTACAAGAACTGTTGAAAATTACCCCCCGCTCGGATGCAAGAATTTAATCTTCTCCTCATCCGCTCCCGATCCTTTTCAAAAACACCAGGATTGTTTCTGATTGCAGTACACCCAGCAAATATCGATTTCTCAAATCTTACACATATTTCACTGCAGTAGTATAAACTAATGGCTTTAGGTGGCCCCATAGGAAATAATCCAGGGAGTTTGAGCCCGGTGATCGAGCAGGCCATAAGTGAGGTCCACCTCGACCAATCCAGCGATCTCCGTATGTTACTGTTGAAAGATCTCGAGCCAATATGCTAAAATGCGCTGGTGCACCATCGTGCATAAACCACATTGCATTTCGACACATTCAACTGATCACTTACGAGACATACTATTCAAATTGAAAGTTTGCATCCGTTTGTAGTATTCAGAATGTTGTTGATAGGTACCAACGGAATCGTTAGATTTTTTTATTACTTGGAGGTCGAGTGTAGTACGCTGTACTTTTATTTCGGCTACATTGATGATTTTGAAATTACCAAAATTGTTTTTGCCGAAATTTTTTCGCCTCGTATCTTCGAAACAAATCGCCCTATCAAAAATCATCAGAGGACAAAATATCCTTAGAATAGTCCAAGGAATAGTCCCTTGATTTTTTGCCGTATGTTTAATAAACACCTTGTATAAAATGTATAAAATATGATCGACAGTAACAAAAGGTGAGAATACATATAATATTCCCCAGTTCAGTACCTTGTGAAAATTGGTTACATTTACAACTGCTGACCCAAGGACACCTAAATTTACCGGGTCATATCATATACAGGGTGTTTCAAATTCAATCCTCACCATTGGGATCTCGAAAACTATGAGAGATACGAAGATGATTGAATTTGGGAAAAGTTGCGTATTCACCTGTCGTTGAGAAAGTTATGAGATTCCGAATATATCCGGAGATATCAGAAATTTCGGAAAATGGTTTTTATTTTTTCTGGCTTCATTTTTCGAAGGGTTAGAAAATAAATTTCACTAGTTCGGACTTCCATTGTCTACTATATAAAATGATTTGAAATCCCTGAAGCAACTAAAAAAGAAGAATTGAAAATGATTAGCTGAAAATAATAATTATATTAACCAAAATAAACCTGAAATGAAATAATAGTGAAATAAAATACAAGTAAAAATAGAACAATTGAATAAATAAAAATGAAGAAATGAAAAAAGAAAATAAAAATAAACAATCGAAACGTTGTGAACTAACGTGACTTGGAATCTCTCCACTTTTTATTTTTTATTTTTATTTTCTTTTTTCATTTCTTCATTTTTATTTATTCAATTGTTCTATTTTTACTTGTATTTTATTTCACTATTATTTCATTTCAGGTTTATTTTGGTTAATATAATTGTTATTTTCAGCTAATCATTTTCAATTCTTCTTTTTTAGTTGTTTCAGGGATTTCAAATCATTTTATATAGTAGACAATGGAAGTCCGAACTAGTGAAATTCATCATGAAACATTGTCAATCACCTTCAAACGTTCGAAAATAAATTGTACTTCCGCATTGCCACATTTTCCCTGCTACATAATGGTGTTTTCAGATTTGCTATTCGACGTTTCGTCTTCCGACCACTATCCTCAACTTTATTTTATTCTTATGGGCGCCATAAATTATCATTCTTTTTCGAAATATTGGAAATATTGAAAATAAAAATTCTTATCATAATGGGCTTTGACTTTGATGTTTCTAAATTTGACTTTCAATTTTTTACACTCAATGACATTTTGTTATTGTTGAAGTCATTTAATTTTTGGCGAAAAATGGCTTTCACGACTGAAGAAAAAAGAGATATGATACAAATTTATTACAAATACGATAGAAACAGTGTTAGGACATCGGAAATGTATTTAAACTTGTAAGAAGACAACTACATCGAACTATGTTCAAGTTATAAATCCCACCGAGATTGGTTCGTTTGAAAAGCCAATAATAAAATACCGAGACAGAATCAATGATCAAAATTTGATAAATGAGATGTGTATGAGGTAAATTAGACATTGTGTCGTTTTCAATGAAAATAGAACTTTGAACAAATAACAATAATTAACTGAAATGTAAAGACAAAAGTAAATCACAGCAAATGCTCAAAATGCTGGCCTTGTTCATGATAACACAACGCTGCCCTTCTTCGAATATTATTCACTGCACGATTGATTTCCCTCCTCCCCAATCTTCCGAACTCTCCAACAATACTGTGTTGGAGGTCCTCAATATTTTGATATTCCCTCTGACCATGAACTCTATTTTTCAGTGTACCCCATAAAAATGTATCCATAACATTTAGGTCTGAAGACCTTGCAGCCCACCTCACCGGCTCATTATTCCCTATCCATTTATCACCAAACCTGTGTGCGGTGGAACACCATCATGTTGAAACCAGATATTTTCATATTTAGCCAAAGGAAGATCATCCAAATAGTCCTCGAAAATCGACATTAAAAACTGGTGATAGGTTTCTCCATTCAGAATTCCGTCATAAAAATGAGGACCCAAATTTCTAGCTTTGTAAATTCCTGCCCACACGTTAATACTAAATCGCACTTGAGGTCGAATTTCTCGAAACTGCCTGGGGTTTTTTGTACCCCAAATGTGTTCGTTATTTCGGTTGAATATCCCACAATTCGTAAAAGTGCTTTCATCTGTCCAAATTACATTGTCCAGAAAAACAAGAAAATCAGGTCTTCTTATTAGCCAATAACCAATTCTAATCGCCTTTCGGGATCACCTGGATGCAATTGTTGAGATGTGTGTATTTTGTAACATTTTAAACCGCTTTTTTGAGATGTCTCCAAGCACTTGGATCCAATAACTTGAACATAGTTCGATGTAGTTATCGTATTTCGGGATACAAGTTCAAATACATTTCCGATCTAATAAATTTGTATCATATCTCTTTTTTCTTCATTCGTGAAAGCCATTTTCCACCAAAAATTCAAATTGATTGATATTTCTCTCATCATTACCTGAAATCTTCAAAAAGTTATTTCTTGTTGATTCCACACTTTTTGTTCTAGGCGTTATTTACGGAGAATCGAGACGAAACTTGAAAGGGATAAGACAAGGAAATGAGGTTCAGAATAATGAAATCAAGTGGAAAACTTGTAAATTGTACACAAAAGTGGGAATAGTTCTTGTCGACGAACACAAATTTTACAGAGGTGAAAATACCCATACTAAAAAGTATGGTCACCGCCGACTTTTTCCTTGGGAGAATTCGGATGACATCAAAAAAACCTGGTATGACGACGACTTCGTGGAACTGCCCAAATATACTTTAAATATAAAGGACGACTTGATAAAATCTATAACTGAATACATCATGTCAAAAAACACTTTTGAAGAAGCTAAACTGGAGAGGTTGAAATACAGTGAACAAGCCGCAAGCGACAGGGAAGAGAAGCAAGAAGAAGTTCTTCAAGCGCTCGCAGACCATTTCAAAGACATGCTGGACGAAATGGAAGTGCAATTTCAAGAAATCGCGGTGAAAAATCGAGTAGATAATTCCCTTCTAGAAGAAATTTCTAAAAAACAGGATCAAGGCAACAGTTCGCAGGCAGAAATAATCGTAAAACTTGGAGAAATCCATAGCGATGTAACAGAAACCAAACATGTTCAGATCGCAACAGCCGAAACAACTGAAGCTATTAGAAGTGAAGTGATTGTAATCAAAAGTAACCAAGAAGAAATGGCTGGTGCAATGGTTAGAACCGAACAAGTTGAAGAAATTGTCAAGTCTCAAACGAAAGATAATGTTAAAGATAGTCTGAAAGACGTAATTCGTGATACGCTAAGAGAAAACGACCCAGGACCTAAAATACATGCTGAGATTGATAGAGCGGCAGAAAGACTGAAGAAAAATGTTCCCAGGGAACTGAAAAAGTTTGAACAGAAACTCAGAAAATTGTTTTGAAATATATTAAAATTATTAGGAACATGTGACCATTTTGCTAGTATATTTTTTATACAATGTTTTATTTGTCGGAAAAATATTTCCAGAACACGAATAAAATAAAAGAGTCTTCACTTATTCATACCAATTCAGAATCACCCGAGTAACATATTTTATTCAAATACTACATATGACTGAAATTCTATATTGAAAGGAGATATATTTCTAGAATTAGTTTTTGCTAAAGAAAGGGTTTTGGATTTCTACTTCTACTTCTCCATTCTCGTACAAAAAATGTGGGAAACTCCCGAATGAAGTAAAAAAACACTTAAGTTCAAAGTTAGTTCATTACAGTAACATGCAGATCATGCATAGATGTTACTTTCAGATACAAATTGAAAAAGGAGCCCTCTCGAAATAGGTACTTTCATATAAACATTGCATTATACAAAAATCAATTTTTCTTATTCTGTTTGTACTCTCAAATAGTCGTTATGAAAATAAATCGGATATCATTCATAGGAATGCAACACAACATAATATATGAAAGAGTTACGATATAAAATTTCACTCACATGGATGAGTTAAATTTACTTAAGTCACCATGACAGTCCTCAAACACAATTCATACGCTCATTTGATTTGATCCCAGCAATAGGCCTTTTCATCATAAGACGAGCGCAAGCGTAGCTGTCATATTAAATTGGCGGTAATTCAAAACATTCGTACTGTTTTAATCAACAATGGCTGGGCAAGGAATATTATCTCTACAAACAAATAAATTATTGGAAAAAACCATTGATGATGTTTCACTTGTTAATAATTCAGTTGAGGCTCATAATTGGGAACAATTAAAAAGGTGGTTAAAATGTCATGGACGTCCGCAAAAAGGAAAAAAAGTAAGCTGATCGAGAGGTTAGGTATCAGCATTTATTTACTATCTAAAAGCAAATAATAAATAGCATTTACAGTTTCATTCTTACTAATAATGTCAATTTATTTGATGTAATTGAAAATATATTTCAGTTGACAAGAGTATCACTTATGGAACTAATGAATAAATCAAACCATTAATATTTTGAGGCTGTACATATGACATACTCAATTAGACAAATATGTAAATACTGAATTGAATATGTTAAGTAGTTTTTATTAGAGGGAAATATTTAATACAACATAATATATTTGAAATTTACAGTCAAAAATGCAATAAGGAATAATGTACGTATGTTGAAATTCCTGATAGCTTACAGGATCCGGGTTTTGTTTAGTTGGACCACTTTCTCCAATGAAATGTAGTGAGCAAATATAAGTATCCTTGGTAACATCATCAATAGATTTGAAGCCTCGGTCACTCCTGTCACATTTTTTAACACATAATTCACATTTTGCACATGCTTTGATATGTAATTTGCTTGATGATTTGATTATTTTTTTTTGCGATATTCAAGACAAAGCTTTGGAAAAATAGTTGGTTTTGAATGATTTGTATCGTGTATCACTTTTACATACTCCATAACAACACCGTTTTGTTGTTCCTTTTCGTACAGATAACATAATTATAATGGAGTATAAATTTTTTTTCTGATAATTTCGACTTAGTACTTTTATTTCACTTTTTTTACAATTAATAAACTTCAATTTATATTATAGTTTTTAAAACATGAGTTGCGGGCTCTTTAACATGGTTGTTTACAAAAAACAGTACGAAAAAGATGGCTGATACTGACGCATGCGCACAAAAATTTTTGTGATGAAAAGGCCTATAGGAAACTGGTTTGAATTGAAGAGCGGGAATTTTCAAGACAGAATAATTTTTGAGAAAGACTGGTTATTGGCTTTCTACTTCATTCAAAATGTTTTTTAAATATAAGGAAATACTGAAAGTAATAACGCTGATTATATGATATAAGTACCTATGAAGAATATTCATATCATTTATCAATGATATTTATATTTTCAAAATTCAATTGAAAATCATTCAAAATATTTTTAAAAATCATTCAATATACAGGTCTTCTAAACCGTTACAGAATAGTGAAAGAAAATTCACAGGGACTTTGGCCCTTCTTGAGTTGACCAGTGGAATAGAACAAATAGAATTGTTTTTTTAGAAAATGGAAACAGAAAATTTTATTGTAACGAAAATAATAGTTCAACCATTGTACTGTTCCCCAGAATAATTACATTTTCCCATTCAATCGTCTTCATATCTGTTATGGTTCAGAATATAGCAATGTTACCATATCATAAAAAAGTAACATATAAAGAAAATAAAAAAACTTCCAGAGGAAGGGAAAAAGCAATTGAATTCAAAGTTATTCTCTTTACAAAGATGTGGAGTTAAGTACTTCAGTAAGAGAAGGGGTTTTGCCAGAAAACCAACTTTTCGAGAAAATTAAGCTTTCATTAGAATAACTGAAATATGTACTAAAATAAATTATAATCCTTATTCATTCCGAAATTGGATATGAGGATATGGCACACTTCCAAGGAGTTCGTTTTATGGTTCACAGGTAGCAGCACCATCACAAACCATTAAAACAAAAAAATCTTGTTCAGCAAAGCCCCTTCTACTCAGGCTACCTGGCCCAGTATAGCTAGCATTCTACTGTGCGCAGGCATTCAATTGACAACCTCAAATTAACATTTTTTGTATTTCCTGCATAATATATACCATTTTTAGTATTTCCTGCATAACCTTCTTCGTTGTTCGAAAAGAAAGCTTTCATGTTTCATGTACTGAAAATAGCCAATATCTTCAATTGCAAAACATCTCACTCTGCAAATTTTCAACTATCTCCGTCCTCTATGACGATGTAACGAAACCATAGTATAAAGTAAAGTTCTATGACGAAACGACGGGGAGCTTCATCGTCGCGGTCACAGATGGCAGTACGAATATCGAATCCATCCTGATTATTTTTACAATGACTAATAATTGTTCTAAAAATGATTTTCAGAATAACCAAGGGTTTGAATAGAAAGGGTTATATTTTTAGGAGTGACAAATATTTTGGAAAGGAAGTTTTTGGCTTTCTACTACTCGATCTTGATACAAAAAAATGTGGGAATCTTCCAAAGAAAGGAGGGAAGTAATCAATTTTAAATTAAGTAACTCTATAAATGGATGTGTAGATCATGCAAAGAAGTAACTTTCAGACCCAAACTGGAAGAAAAAACCCTCCTGAAACAGTTAATTTCATATAAACATTGAATTACACGAAAGAAAAATTCTTTCGAAACAAATACTTTTATGTGAACACTGAAATATAGAGAAGACACTATTCTCTACTCAGTTTGAATTCCAAACAAACGAACAAAGTTCAACCGATACTCATATTGCCATATTTTTTTGAAAAGCCACATCTTTGCGTGGTTTCGGTAATGGATTATTATATGAAAACAACAATTCGGATCAACTATTGATAGCTATTAAAACACCGCACCACCCAGCAACAACTCAAACCATCAGTAGGTGGATTAAAAGTGGTCTCAATCAAAATGGTGTTGATACATCAATGTTTACAGGCCACAGCACTCGACATGCTTCTACCTGTTATGCTTTCAAAAAAGGGGTGAACATAGAAACCATAAGAAAAGCCGCTGGATGGTCGAACAAATCAAATACGTTTAGTAAATTTTATAATAAGCCTATTCAAAGTGGTAATTTTGCGAAATATATTTTTGAAACACAGCCTCAATGAGGTCAATTCATTTTACTATTTATTCTGTGTACTATATAGCATAGTTGATTGTCATTACTAATTATTACTTGTTCAAGAATAAACTGTTGAACTACACTTGTGCCTTATATCAATAAATTAAACCTTAGATAGTTACATATTTGAGTTTGTGTTGTAATTTATAATGAAATTTGGAACAATCATGAAATACAAATCAATTCAAAGAACTAAGATTATAAAAAAAAGGAAAGAAGAAAAAAAAATTACATCAAAGGTGCTGCTTCGTTCCCTCCTGTTCATAAAAGAGGACATATGCCTCATTGCTCACAAGTGATTTTGGCGAAATTGGGAACACGTGTGAATCGTTGTATTCATGCCACGTGTCACTATATGGGTGTCTGCAATATGCTGTGTAATGTCCGTTGTAAGTACTCCCACTGTGATTTGAAAGTGCATATAGATATAACGACAAGGAGCCACATTGTCTTGGCATAGCTGCTCATATCTAATCCATCTGAAGAAAAGGCAATGGAAACATTCAATTTACCTCTGAACCTTTCCGTCGGAGAGAATCTTTTCAAATTAATTAGTAAAATACGGGGAAACTTATAGATTGATTAGGACTTTGTACATTTCCTCCTTTGCTTGCACCTCGAACACATTGGTTTTTCATCTCCATCCAGAGTTTCCTCTCTTGTGAAAGAATCCAAGCAATGTGACAAACTCACTTAGCCAGATCTTTGTGGTATGAGAAGGGACAAATCCCAGAAAGGATCAAAGGTTACTGATGAGTGTCCACAGTGTGTGCACTTCATAGTGGATTTTAATTGACCAACGAAATAGTCTACAATCTTGGAGTTGTTCATATTCAAATATCTCTGCCAGTACTCTTGTGCCTTTCCGTTATCGCTCAATTTTTCGTCAATCTCAGTTAAGATCGGTTCAGGTTTCTCAGTAATTTTGTTGAGGTCCTCATGTAAACTTTCTAAAAGATATCGAAGGAATTCGTGGGCGTCTTGATGGGCAGAACCCATGTATCGAGGGGCAAATCTTTGAATCTGATTTTTAAGTAAACTGTGTTAATTACTCTATCAAATGAATCTTCTGACCATAATTCCTTGATAACTTCTGGGAACGATTTGATTAAAACACCTTTCATACTAGAAATTCTAGTATTGATATCTTCCATGTATGCATCCTTTTTTAGGTATTCCAGCAACCATCCCGTGTTTGATAAACATTGGATTATACTGTTCATGAAACAGGTGTTTCCAAGATTTTTTAAACCATTGAACCCAAGAGTTTTGATTGAAGAATGTATCACCGATCTATTGTTGCAACTACGTTTGCCACTACTATCTTCTTCTGAGTAAACACGGATAGGATGATTCACCCCTTCATTGGACTGGTAGGATAAGGAATTCGAAGCAAAACTGCTCAAAACTGAATTAG